TACTCATTAAAGTATAGACGTTTTAGAGGTGACCTATTTACTTACAGGATCTTTAACACTTCTGGACATCCTCTTAAACACCTACTTAAGCTTAGTTCGAATAATAACCTAAGAGGTAACACCCAGAAACTGGAAACTCAACATAGCAAGACGGAATGTTGACACAAATTCTACTACTTAAGAATTGTCAAATGCTGGAATTCGCTGCCCGCCGAACTAGTCCAAGCGACTTCCCAGGAGTCATTTGGGAGGCGACTGGATCTTTTATTGTTAACATACCTAGGTTCCTGCTTGGAGGCTTCGGTGTTCCCCTGCTAATAGACACGGAAGCCTGAACACATGAATTAGGTGATGAGAGGCTCGATTATCACAAGTTTCTTGCAACGATTAAGTAGATAAAACAAAGTAGCATTAGGTTCAAAAATTTATTCGAGAACTTTCATTAAGAATCGAATATGAAACAAAGGTTTAAACCAAGTTCCAGTCTAAAAGTTGCATTTGTAATGTTAAGCTGCAGTTTTTGTTGTTTTTTCCAAACGAAAGGGTAAAAGAAGTAACTCAAAAAGTACTGGAAGTGGTTGTGAGATTAAAATGGACATCCAGCATTCTTTTTATGATCTGGTGTTAGTTGGGTCTCCCGTAAACAGATCCATAGGGCCATAGTTCTAAGGGCGAAACAGTTCTTAACATCTGTGAAGACTCAGTCCTGTTGCATTGTAAATGAGAAAACAGTAATGAATTTAGTCAGAAATGTGGAATAGATAAATAACCAAATTACATGTATTTTAGCAAAAAATTTATGCAGTTGTGATTTACCTTTAGTTCATGAATATTAGGTCAGGTCAGCTATTTATTGTGCAAAGCATAACATGGACTTAATACCGTATCTCAATGCTTTTATTATTTTGCTCTCATTTAAGTATTACCATGTATCTGCATCTAGTTTAACAGGGAGACATACAAGCAGAGTTAGTGTTTGATGAACTAAAAGTCCTAGTAGTCAAAAAGATTCTTAACATTTGTCCACAGCCAACTGCATTTAATTGAGATACAGACTACTCATCTTCTAAGACTGTATACTGCTCTTCTGCGGGCAAATAAAAGCTCACACACTTAGCTATCCTGCTACCGATGTTATTGCTGGGGAAATTGTTTAATGACAGTGATCATGAAATATGGTCAGTGATAGATGTACAATCTAGAAATAAACACCAAACATACTTATCGCTATCTTATAATGTATAACAGCAACAGTACCAAAAGCACTTTTTTCCTATTTTTAATCAGACTGATTTGAATCAGTATACTCATCAGAAACAGGCAACTCTACTTACTAAGCTGATCTGTTTCGTTACAGACTTCAAGCACTATACCATAATTCTTTCAACTAAACTGAATTATACGACAACCAAGAATACTAAACTAAGCAAGTGTCATAGTTATTGTTTCATTTGCACAGGCATATTGCTTAAAGTAGTTAAATGGACATAATTAAGACAATAAAACAAAAACACGAAATATAGGCCAATTGAACTTACCGAACAGAAGACAAGGTATATATATATTGCTTTCCGACTGAAAACAACAGGTAGTTGTTCATAAAAACATAGTTTATAGTACAATAAACCTTTCTACAGTAAAATCATGCACTAACAGTCTATCTGGAAACAATCAACTATGTGAATAAACTCACTATGACTTGAGATATTATCCCAGCATGCAATGGACGTGCAGTGTAACGCAGTCGAACGTGGCGAATAAAAAAATAAAAAAAGATCAAAATTAGCTATATAATCTAGTTATTTAATTAAAAATACATTATGAAATGACAAAATCTGTGGTTACTTGAACGCACAGATGACCGGTACATTAAGTTTACATGGTTGCGTTGCGGATAAGATCACCCGTCAATTTCATGAAAATATTTCAGTAGAATCAAATCCTGATGTCATATGTATTACCTATCCTCATAATGCATTTGCTCCTTGTGAAAAACTTGTTCAATGCGAAGCACGAATACTAAATGAGCTCGGTTTTGATTACAATTCTTATGATTTCATATCAACTGTTGTTCATCCTTATCACAAAAACACTTCTAATGTTTACTCTAATCAATGTGAGAAATATGTTTTAAATGAAGCCACATTATTCATAACTTGGGAATATAAAGACCCAACATTATTTCGTGGGGGGGGGATAGCGTTGAAAAATCTATGGTTCCAATTCGAGATATGTATCATTTCAGTACAAAACCGATATGCTGATTGTATACAATCCCAGGTGAGTCTGTTTCGATTTCGTTTGTTAATTCCCATACTAATGAGCACATTCTAGATACTACAAAGTTTTCATCCAGTACAATGTCGGACAGACTCAGGATGAACTAAACACGAAGACATACAACCGATTGCAAACACTTATACTTCTATTTAAGCTGTGGCGGATGTGGTGTTTGAATTGACTGGTGATACTTTTGTACATGTTGATGGCTTGATTTCGAATTCCAAATACAATACATTCGTTGGAGCTTGTGTCTTCTTAACTTCTTGGACTCTTAGTTCGTGCTATAATTCAAATAATTCGAAACATTATAATATGTTTATATTTCTTTTATCATTATGTGGTAACAGAAGACGAAGTGGGCACAGATGTACGGAATATGTATATATGATGAAGCATCAAAGAAAGAATGATCGATGTCCAAAACAACATGTCATGAATAAATAATATGCGTAAACAATGAACACTGACTACATGTAAAATAACATGCATGATATCGCAGGATTGAAAAAACTACGGTGATTAAGTAAAGTTAATAACTTTCTTGTTACAATAGTAACATACAAAACCCTTTTTATTTATTTGGAAAGTACAGTAATCTGACATTTGCTTTACATAAATGTCGTGTTTTAGCAAATTTTATTGTTATCGGTGCCACAATTTGGTCGTTTATAAACTACTTTGCACTCTAGGACGACTAAAGCATATGAATTGTTGACCAATTATTACTCAGGATTAATCACAATGGTACGCGCCTACTATTTCTCTAATGAATAATGAGAACAAACTATTAAAGGATTCTGCAAACCTTAACGTTAGGAGTTTAATAGGTGTTTTGCAACAGTGATATTTCCTATTGTGTTGTGAATTTCTGAAAATTTGCTGCAATTGTGACGTTTGATAAGCACTATATTTAAGTTTATTTAGTTGATGAACCGATGATGAACAGAACGAATGGTTAAAGATGACGAAAGTTTTATAAACATCCGATGAGAAAATCCATAATGTCTGTATTTGTATGATCCTACTCTATTTCACAATAACCTCTATCAACTACAATGGTTGCTTAACGAACAACTATGAGTATGATCAAACGTCTAGGGTTAAAATCGCTCATCTTAACGTGTGCATAAAACCCTCATACACTCCTTAATTCAAGGCGATCCAAAAACACTTTGACAAGTTAGTCTTAGCAGAAAATCACCATGGTGATACAAGCATCAATGCAAAGTGGATTTTTTGCCAAACAATAGACCCTCGAGTGCTACTCTAGTGTTTTGTACGATGAACCTACTCTCTCCTAGGAAACGTTATCACAGTAGGTGAATTTAGAAAAATATTGATGATTCCGCGTACATGCGAATGACCATACGCAGTAATACACAAACAGGTCTATTAGCTTAGCACTCACATACCATTGGATATTTTTACTTTAATCTGCAATCCCCTTTTTTTGTTATTTTTGAAAGCTTTATTAGTTAACTTTCATACTGTTCCTATCTCTTGTTATTCATTTTTATTCCCTCGTTATGAAACTTAAAATATCAACCAATCTATCTCCCGGTTAATTTCAAACAGATTCCTATTTGTAGCTACACTGATTTGAGACAAGTATATCTACTTCTACTTAGGAGGCAGACGACTTATCCATTAGGCCATGCGGGCGCAATTATATCTACATACCTTCACCTCGTCAAACACAGCTTGAATTCTTTAGGACTACGGAAATGAATCAACAGAAATAGATTGTATCGTTGAGTAAATTTCTGAAAACAATAGTTCTTATTATCTGCGACACTCATGCTGACCTCATTAGTTTTACTGGATACACTTTAGCTGAAGACACTTTGCCATAAATCCGCACCCGGACACCATTACGTCCCGCCATACTACACAGCCCTCGTAAAAAGTATGAAACTTGGTTCAGATACTTCTCAACACATTGACTAACTACCAAACATTTCAGGAAACTCCACTACCGGCATACACTAACGGTCAATTTAACCGTCCGTTATACAACACTGCTTTGGAGACGAATGTTCTTCATCTCACAGACTAGTGCAGAAGCTAGAGTTTCTCCCCTCGAATACTATTGATTGTCTACAATATATGGTCTTTGATTTACAAGAGGTGAGAGGGAAACAGATAGCCACAAATGACTGATGTAGGCCGGCTACAACTGTGTGTTTCACTTGTCAAACCCAACAAACGGAGGTTAATCGACTATCTGTATATCCGAATGCGCGCCTAATAGCTCCTGCACAGCTATGACTAGTCAGAAATGAATTCGATCAAATAATGGGCTCCAAAAAACCTTGCATTCAAACGATCCGCGAGCATCTGTTTTGTATTTGATCACCTACGAAGATAACAAGGTTTGGCGTCCAACTGGTGATTATCGGTGAAATAACACGAAAATCAACCCCGATTGTTACCCGTTGCCACACATCTATGACCGGACAGCTACTTTTAAAGATGAGTCTGCATTTTCAAAAAAATACTCGATCAAAGTACATAACCAAAATTCTATGGCTGAGGCATTCTTAGGACGGTTATTATCAGTCAATTTGAACTTGACGAATTTTTGCGTATGTCTTACTGATGATATCTTAATTTCGGAAATGATGATTGAATTCGTAATGAACCTAAAATAAAGCAATCTTTTTATTTTGCCTTACAATGAATATTTGAGGCATTGGTCGGTTTTCGCGTTTTGACACATTTTGAGCACAATATTTAAGGGATTTGGATACTTGGTCATTACTCAAGGTCACCAGGTGGTGTTGGTTTAGCTTGTTTGCTTATTGTTCTTGCCTTTTCACGTAAGACCTCTTAGAAACTCTTGGTTTACTTACATTATAGCATCAGATTTGAGTGCTTAATCAAAATTAAACAGGTCAATGCACTGATTTAGAGCGCTGTTTTGTATAGCTATACAAAGCTAGCTTAAGCTTGAGCGGCACTTGTCGCTTAGTCTACTGGTTTTCTTTATATTTTGTATGCCCAAAAGATTGAATGGTGGTTTTCTTATGTACTGAAATACTGGGGTTAGTATACTTGGGCTAGGAGTGTTTCGATCGAGAGTCAGACTTTGAGATTTTGAGGGTTAGTAGCTAGTCATTAAAAGATGTTGGACTAACTAATAATATATTTACTAAAAAAAAATTTAATAATTTTCATCCTAAGCAACTGGTATTTAGCTTTAAATTAGTTTATTGATGTTTTTCGAAGTCCTAATCATCTATGATCTCATTTAACTATAATTTAGAGCGCTTACTAAAAAGTTGCATTCCGGTTGCTGATTTTTGATTATTTAATCCCTAAGTAACTATTAAATTCGCTCAAGGTTGTCACTATAGTATTAATAATGTACCTTATAGAGAATCTAGATTGACACTGATAACTCACTGACTTATTGTTGTCAAAATAGAACCATAGATTCGTGTGGGAAATTAGGATTAGGACCAAAAGTTAGGAGTAAAACTTTATAAATTGCATTTCATAACTCTTAGTCTTGCGTCTCGAATATTCGAACAGAAGGACGACACATTGATTCTAGTAATCTGAACTAGGTATATGAGGTGTGGAATTTAATGTCCGACTCTTGTCGTTCATGGCTGCTATCTTTTGCTTTTATTGCCATTTAATATTTAGAAAATCAATGTCATCGTCTCAAAATGCATCACAAAGTGTTGAACTTGTGTCTGCTGATTGTGGTTCTGAGGTCAATACTTACTATGACTACTTATAGTTGATAACTTCCATGCTATGCGTAGAAATGTGAATTGCCACACTATATTTGCTTTATGACGTTTTCTAGAGTCTACCTACGGCTATCGATTCTAGTCAATCATTAAATTTTAATCTTCCCGCAATTCTACCTCTAAATTTATATTGTGTGTATTTCTCCATACCTTAAGTTCGTCTTCAAACAGCGGGATACATGGCTATACCACTCAAGGTAGGTCATTTACATAAATGAAAATAAAGAGCGGGCCCAGAATTTTCATCTACAGATCACATAAGGATGAAGTGTCACTCGCTCTAATTCTTTACCTCCTGTCATGAAGTCTAACCCATTGTTCGACTGTATAATTGTTCGTTTAACTTTCTTCTACCTAAGTCCCGTATGATAAACCGTTATTGAGGTCAGTAGTTAATACACTTACCTCAGTATTTTTATCTTTAGGTTGGGACTAGTCTTCTGTCCCACTAAGGTTAGTTATGAATGTACAATCTGCTAAAATGAAAATGTTTTTCCCTGGCGAAAATTCGCTCCCTTCATACAATGCTAAATATCAGGATAAATCATCTCCATCAGTTTAAACTGGTAAGATTAATCCCAGTCTAAACTGGCCTAGTTACATCTTGAATGGCAATGTCAGCGGTGTGCGGTCATATCACCTAGAAATCCTTTTATTTAAGAGTTTATACCGTCAGAACCAGTAAAATTGTTTGGTCTGAAGTGTTGAATTGGTTGTATGACAACCCTTTACTCAAAGTACGTGAGATCGATCATCCAGTCCCAGTTTACTGGTTCATCTACAGCCATCCAATTATCCTCTCTCCCAATGACAACTCCGATGTCACACAAATGTCAGTTTTAGTCTGCTTCCATGCACTAACTGACAGTAGTTTTATTTACTCTTTCAACCGTAGAATCATCTAAAGGAGTCTATGTGATTGAGGAATAGTATTATCACCTCTTGCTGATCCTAATTATTTAGTATATACCCTTGAAGTATTACTCCGCAAAACGTTTTGGATAATAATCTTGGTAAATTAAGTTGTACTAGTTTTGAGGTTAGGTTTTTCCGACTACTTCAAGTTGGTCATAATAATATTGCACTTTCAGATTTCATAAGTTTGTGTTCATAGTATGTAAACAGGCAATAAATTCATCATTTAAACCACCTGGTTCATAAAATATAACTCCATCCAAATTAGAATCCTTTTATCATTTCCTTCCAGAAATTTTCAGCTTTATGGGTTTTCTGATGAATTTTCATCATATATATGAATTATGATATTTTGGGTGTGTGGATCACTCAACTCTCATAAACCTAAGTCATACATTATTAAACACGTTAAATCTCATATAGTAGGGCAACTTAGATTTCAGGTTATCATGGACTTGTGTTCATGTCATATTAGTAACTGTAAGTTTATATCTTTTTTTAGCGTTCTGTGTTGTTTTCTCGATTAATTTAAGTGTTGTATACAAAATCTCTGTACTTAAGTCTAATGTGTTTATTTTCTTCATCATAGCTTAAAATTATGGTGGACAAGTTAAACATTAAGTCCTGGGACAAATTAAGTACACTTACACGCATGATTATTAGTCGTCCAATCATCTAACGGTTATTTATGCTTATCAGCCAATGTTCATTAGTACAATCATGAACTTAATTGCTTGAAAAATATCTTCCTGCTACAACTTTTGAAGAAATAGTGTCGTGTAACTTCACTTTTTCTGATTCTGGTTGATGGTTATGCTCTGGTCTAATTGTGAAAGAAACTATTTTCACAATTGTGACCACCACATTTTTAGTTATCAGTTATCAAGAGTATATTTATGTAGGCTCTTGTGAGGTATTTTCGGTGGTATTTCTCGTTATCAACATATTTATATACATCCCGCCCCATTTAAATCCTAAAGGTTCTATTTTTTTATTGGGAAAGTTGCAAAAAAGAAGTGTATGAATATGTATAAACTTATGCAACATGTCGTGTCCAAATATCAATGTCCTCAACGATCCAATAATCTTAGGAAGTACAATGTTTATTTTCTTGGAACTTGGTTTAATTTTGTTTTAGATTCATCTGGTCACTCTGTGTTGCAAGAACAGTTTTCATTAAATCAAATACCATCAGTTGGCGGGATATGAAGTTCAATATTTGTTTTGTTTTGGGTGGACCGGGTGCTGGGAAAGGTACAGTATGCGAGCAAATTGTGAAGGTCAGTAAACCTAGTTTGTTTGAATTTACTTTTTGTACGGCACTGACCACAACCTAAATAATTACATGACCCAGTTGAGTTTCCAATGTCTTCATGAATTGATACTACGTTTTGGTTTGGTCACACCTAGCTTTCTCCCAACCTACTGCGTTAGCAGACACTACTTGTCGATTTAGTCGGTGGGTGGGGATACGTATTACATATTTTAATCATCTCAGTAGATAAAGATTCACTACATCGTCAATCGATTTACTATATTCATATCATTTACGATTATCAACCATTGACTAGGACAATCGTGGAGATCCTAACTAGGAAGTCAACATATCTATATTTATGTCACTCAGATCATTAGTTAATTTTTCATCATCTAAACGGAGATTTGGTATTGATGGTTGACCTACTATTTGGATTTTTCATTTACAAATAGTATGATTTTGTAATATTTTGCTTCCATACTACTTTTTTAAAATCGGTTTTCTATCCACCTTTTATCAGGAATATGGATTTGTACATTTATCTGCTGGTGAATTACTTCGACAAGCTCGTGATTCACCAGGTTCTGAATTTGCTAGTGAAATACAAGAACACATGAAAAATGGGACAATCGTACCGGCTGAAATTACCTGTGGCTTATTATATCAAGTTGGTTCAGGTTTTATTTTTGGTGGTTATTTCGTGTACATTTTGGTTATTTTAGACTGACAATTTAATTAGTGTGTGTAGATATTTTAAATCGTAAGATCAAGTTAAATATATATATCACTTACTTTTCTGATAATGCTCCGGTTCCAAAAAATAGATTGTCGAATGTGGATTTTTCGCCTGATATATTTTTTAGAGTTAATCGCGGCCAAACCAAAACGTGTGACTGTAGAATTGAACTTTGTTGATAGATTCAGACTACTTGGTTGTGATCATCTAAATTATTGTAAGCAATTTTTAGAGGTGTTGAGCAACATAGTTCAACAGGCGGTTCAGATACATCGATTCTTTGTAATTCCTTAGATCTTGAGTTTGGAATTATCCTATAGTTTTCAGTCTGCGAATTTATTTTTTTCTTGAACCATGTTGTTTATGTCTAAAACATGAATCCTGAATTCTACTGTTAGTCATCATCCACCTGTGCTTATAATGTCGTGTACGAGTGATTGTTGCTTTCGTTAAATGTTTGTTTATTGGTAAAAAATCAAATTGTTTGATTTAATCATGAGTTGATGGGTTGTTTTTTTAATCATAAGTTTTGTTTTGTTGCGTGAGGTAAGTATAGTTATTGATTTGTACAAAATTTATTTACTGACTCATCAATCACGTACAGACCCGTGTACTTGACTTAGACCCACACTCTAAATGTAAAGGCTAACGACACTACTTACTTGCTTTTAAAACGGAATTAGTTGGACCGGGGTTCAAGCGTCCAACTTAGAAACTCAATGTTGAATGCTTTAATCACTGAACCATTAGTCAGTGGAGGTTAGTTTAATTTGAAGGTGATATTCGTTATTTTATTATTTTCTTTTGGATACACAATTTAATATTTCTATTTATAGGCAATGCAAAAAAATTCTGAAAATGCTAATTGTACAAATTTTCTTGTGGATGGTTTTCCACGTAATGCTGAAAATCGTTTGTGTTGGGAAAAAGATTTAGGTCCTCATACGATATTAAAAAATGTCATTGTTTTAGATTGTCCAGACGATGTAAGTTTTGATTTATTACTTTATCATTAATCAAACTATTATAGTTACTGTAGGGTTTTGTAGAGATTGTTGAATTTCATAGTTAACTTCATAGATTGATTTCAGTTGTATAACCATTAAAAACGAGGAGGCGTTCAAATGTTACTTTTTTCTATTGTGTAACCCCTCGACAGAGCGTACTCACGACCTTTAGGTATCTCGGTAGCACATAACCTCTAGACGACTCAGTCAACATCTAGTGGTTTTAAATAAAAATAAAATTTGTAATATCCCAGTGAGTAGGAAAATTAGATTTTCTGGCGTTTCGTAACTTAATGTAAGCGACTTCTTCAGAGAAAAAATGACAAATTTTGTCTTACTGCTTGCTCTCATTCAAACCAGAATTTGGAATATTCACATTTTAAAATAAAGTGGGGAATTTCATTCCTTTTGAGCTTGAGTAAAAAGTATTTGATCATAAAAGGTGAGAAATGTACTGTCTATGATAGCGATCAAGGAATCTGTCAAGATGAGTAGTAGATTTGAATTATCTACCTTAGTTGATTGTTAGATATTAGAAGTATAATTGGCCGATGAAACTGGGGAATGAAAAGTATGGATTAAAGCAAAGCTTCTTAGGCCAAAAGACGGGTAAAGAATAACCCAAATAGATCAATTTCGGATCATGTTAACTCAACGTTTCTAAGCACTGATTACAATTATCTAGGAATCCCTATGTGATATTTCATTATTACCTACTTGGTTTAGTCAAATTATTATTAACTTCTTAGTCTGTTGCATTGTCTTCACTTGAGCAATCACATTACTTTTCCAACGTATTCCTATATTATCCGATTCAAAATGATACAATTGTGATGAACTTGATTTGCAAAATTCAGAAGGCACCAATAATCTAGTATTTTTTAGAATTTCGACTATTATTACACGAGTGAAACTAGTTTATATATATAATCTCCATTTAATATTTAATTAACTAATTTGTTTCTTCAGGTATGTATCCAACGTTGCCTTGGACGAAAGTCGAATCGAGTGGATGATAATGAAGAAACATTAAAGCATCGGTAATTCTCTCATGATAGGCATATTCTGTTATGATGTTACGTGGTTTCAGGTAGCCGACTGTAAAACTTACTGGAAGTGACACAAGGAAAAACTGCTTAAGTCCCTTTACATACAACCGTTTTGTGAGTTGTTCATGATTTGTGTTAACTGAATAATTCATTAACCCTTATCATTGGCGACGAGAATCCATAGGGCAAAGTGATGTGCGCCATTTTTAAGGCTTAGTTTTCTAACCTCTTTCAGTTGTAGTAAGACGAAACTGATGCGAATCCTGATTGCTTGTGGGAAACGCCTTGAGGCCGTCTCAATCCAGTACAGTAGATTTACCCTTGAACCATAGTTTCTTTCAACTAATCGACTTTTTCATTCCCTACTAGTCGTTTCATGGATGTTAATAAATTATAACTTAATGTTTTTTTTATTCCAATGATTGATGAACATTCCAGTATAAAACAATTCAAAGAACAATGTATGCCGATTATTCAGTTCTATGAGGCACAAAATTTGGTGACCAGAATTAATGCAAATAAGTCTATACCTGAGGTAATATTTTGTCTTACGATTTTCTGACTATTTTGTGTTGAAATCATGTCAATGAATTAGTGAATGTGTAGCTATAGTAAGCGTTCAATAATACTATTTTGTTGTATATATTGATGCCTAAATATTCTGTCACTTCGGGTATTCTAAACCGAGTCAAATCACATATTCTCCGAGATTATCATCAAGTTTATTCTACAAGCTTGGTTGTAATTACTATGGCCGTCTGTGAAGTAATCGATAATACGTTTTCTTATCTGTTTTAATCAGTGATGAATGGTGAATAGTAATGAAATCCAGAACGCGCGTTTCGTCTCATATAAGACTCGTCACCTGAATGCGCCTGCATCCTAGATTTCATGTTCACTCCGGGCCTCGAAGGCACTACCGTTCGCTTCAAAGACCATCGCGTTATCCACTTAGCTGCTGAGTCCCGACAGCCACTAGCTTTTGCAATGGAGTAAAATTTATTTCATTTTTGTTTTGATTGTTTGAATCTTCCCATTGATATTGAGGACTGCAATTGATCCATCCCTGTTTATAACGCATGTGACTTAAGACAATGTCGAGGTAATCCGAACTGAATGCACATATGCCTATAACAGACTGATCAGTCGTAATCCTAGACATCAATCGGAAGATTCAAACAACACAAAAGTGAGCTTCCCTATCTGGTTTCAAACTATTTGAAAATGGTCGACTACACGCAATCATTTGATGGGAGAAAATTTTCGAAAATTTTGTATTCCAGTCTGACAATCTCATTGTAATTGTCAAATTTATCGACAGATCTCATCCTCAGAATAATTCCTATGGTAGGTGAACAGAGGTAACTGGCCGAACCGTTTCATATAATAGTGCATCCCTCTACCAAAATGGCCTGAGTATTCGTCCAACCTGGATAGATTATCCAAACAACTACATTTGACATTATTTATTTTCCATACAATCTACCCACACACACAATTCCAAGGACACTACTTCATATTACAAATTACATATTTTTCATATCCGCCATCACACGTACAAATAGACATAGGTATGTCTCGTACAAAATGACCTTGACCGAAACTAACGTGACATTAACATGTTCAGACCTATTATGATCATGATTGACTGATCACTGGGTGGTGATCAATGTCATGTGTGTCAATTCCTTCTTAGTGCAGATCGGATGCTATCGACTAAGTTGCAATGTGGCCACCTGTCTAGGTGACTTGACACTGCATGAGCTCTGTTGAGACTAGATGGTTGGAGGTAGTCGACAAGAAACCCTGGACCCGGAATTTCGTGCTACTTGGCACTCGTCACCAAGGTGTATCTGTAATCTTGAGGGAACTAGTGCATCCTGACGGATTCGATCTCGTGTCACCTAGCTTCACAGTCAGAGGCGTTACCACTGAGCTATCCGGGCCGCGACCAACCTCCTGTAGGACTGAGGTGTAGTCACAATTGACCAAGTCACGAAACATAAAGGAATACAACTCTATATTCATTGGGATATCACAAAAACACAATTATTTCATTACATAAATTATAAGTCTAAGGGTTGTGGAGATTGTTAAGTTTTTGATTGTGATCATGAGTCGATTGACATTAGACCACCATTGAAAACCTGGAATCACTGGACGGCCGTTTCGTCCTATTATGGGACTCCTCAGAAGTGCGCATCCACGACCCCACTCGCGGGATTCGAACTCAGGGCTTTCAGTCTCGCGCGCGAATGCTTAACCTACTGGGCCATTGAGCCGGCATCCAATGGTGTTAATGTCAAACTTCAACCAATCCACGAATTCTAATAATGTTTTTGGTTGTAAAGTCTAAATATTCAGTGAGTGTACTTTGTAGCCCTCTGCTACGACGGAAAATTGATAACGTAACTGAGCTTTAGTGTACAAATGGTAGGTAAATCGATCGACGAGCTCGTGTCTTTATCGGTTGAGGTGATTGGAACATGTAACCAAAAATCCCTGCCTCGATGGGCAATATTGTCTGGAATAGAACTAGATATAATCAAACGGAGATATAGTATCATCCCATAAGAATGATCATCAACTGTTAATCTGGGTAGTGTTTGCTGGTGTAGACCACCTGGTTAGGCACACTCAGTGGCTGTAGATATTGGTAAACATATTTCAAAATCGGCTAAAATGGCTCGAACTTATCCACTATCTATCCCTATTAAATATTAAGCTTCTTTATTATTTAAAATCTTTTAATTCTTCAAATCCATTCCTTATTTTCGAACTGTATTTTATAATGTTTAATCATTCTCACTATTATTGATACTGCTACTTGTTTATTATTCGTCCTGTTAACTTTGTTTGTTTGTGCTGATATGTGGTACAGTGAGTTGACTTAATACATTTATATCAAGATCTGTGTTGATCACGATTAACTGGAACTTCCTGTTCACCCATAATTAACTGGTGAAATTTACGAACAATGCAGAAGCAGAAAGATTTCCGTATAACATCGTGTACTTCAAACTTTCGATCACTAAAATTTATTTAAATAATCTTATGATTTTAATAAAGCTTAAAACCTAAATCTCTTTGAGAAACTCTAATCAACTCAATTATTATTATGAGTATGAAAAATAGTAGTTGGAATGAACACGTCAGCATGTTTTATTTATAGATTGAGAGTGAAGTACGGTTCAGTTATTTAATCAAATGAATCGTGTTACGATTATGGTTAAATTGATAACATTTGACAAGATTCATCAATCAGAATCCAGATGGTAATTCTCTACCTCAAGTAATACTTATTTTGTACATGAACTATTAAAAGGCAAGGGTGGCCAAAAATAATAATAGTGTACATAATGTGAAAACCATGCTGGATAATTTATTTATTTAAACAGATAAACATTGGTACAAGGAGGCACCGAATAGATATGCGCCACATAAATCATTCGAATTGTGTGTGAGCTGTGATACTGCCCGGGTGCCCAAACTAAAGCAGATGGTTTTCTTAGGAGGCCACACCCAAAGTCTTCGCCCTAAAGATCTGATCCACAAGGCAGTAGAGCAACTTCAAGAGATGCAGTCCCATGGTAGCCAATGACCAACAATGGGTTCATACGCCATTTGTTCCTTCAGGATACTGGGGCCCATGTGCACCAGTGGTTTGGAATCAGGGTTTCCCAACTCCGCTAGATGGACTCTACATATACATGAACCCGGGTAAAGCGCCGGACATCCGCTTTTCGTCCTCTCAATTTCGTAAACACCCTTGCCGTGAGAAGGTAATGAGTAGGACTTCATTGGTAGTGATTGTATGCACGCTGGATAAGAACAAGCCCCTTATTAAACCACATTTGTATTAGATTAGACTGGAAACAAAGATATTGTCCTGTCCTTGTCGGCTTTCTATATACGGAAGCTTGATGGATATTATTATTAATAGACTGAAATCATGAGTCAGTTGAAGCTAGACCAGTGAGCTGATATCTCACGACAGACCTGGTTGAACTCACAGTAGAAGACAACGGTATATGGTGGCGCAACTTCGTGGATTGAAATTAGACATTAACACCGTTGGATGCCGGCTCAGTGGTCTAATGGTTAAGTGCACGCACGCGAAGCCAGTAGGTCCTGGGTTCAAATCCCGTGGGGTGCGGGATCGTGGATGCGCACTGCTGAGGAGTCTCATACTGGGACGAAACGGCCATCCAGTGATTCCACGTTTTCCATGGTGGTCTGGCTTCAACTGACTCATGATTTCAATCTGTGAAAATTCCTAAAATCTTCACAAACCCCTTCTGATTATGAATAATAGTTATTATATTATTAGCGCAACAGAATTCTCAGCACAAAGTAAGTTTTCTTTCCTTAATTCTTGATCAACCCTGACGATAAATACTGAGCGATCACCAATTAGATGTTAGCAGTTCAGGAATCGAAATCTGAATATTGTACATTATTTTCGTTGCACATTGCCAGCAACCACGATGTCTCTGGTTTTTTTGTAACCTGCACAGCGAAAAGTTGAAAACTTTTCATAAACTCACAAAAACATAACTTTTTGAAATATCTAGATGTCAAGAACAGGCAGGCCTCATACACATAACTACACCATAAATGATAGAAAAACTAAGCGACCAGTTTTTTAATAATATAGATTACAATGTTTCTTTGTATTTCAACAAATATTGTTACGAATATAGAACGTCTTTACAAAATGTTTCTTTTTTACAGGTATATGAACAGGTTAGACAAATGATGAAAACCTTGAATATCGTCAGTTGCAAGTGAAGAACAGAAAAAGCCGTTAATTCAACTTCCGTATTTGTATTTTACAAATTAATCTTAGTTATATTTGTTATGACTTATTTCTCTTTCTCCTTTATTCAAAAAATGACAATGTTGTTGCATAATGATCATTATTTTATAGTTGATTCAATATAAACAAACACATCATGCACTGATTGTTTCTTATTATTGACTCTTAGAAAATCATATAAGTCAAGATTATTTTTCATTGGGAAAAAATTAGTTAATTAGCAGAACTATTCAAAAATGAAGTATCGGTGTAAAATTAAAACTATTAATTCAAAATAATTCTATTTGAATACAAAGAAATGATTCAACTTTGATGATACTTTGTCAGTTAAAACAAAATTTATTATTATTTTTGTTTTGCAGAAAGAGATGCGATTTCCTTGTCTCTATATTCTTTAATAATTATGTCATAACGTGTAATAATAATAATAAAATATATTGCCTAATGAGTATTATTTCATGCACATTTGATTTCTAAATTGTACAGCTTTGTAAATGTTCTATTTTGTAATCCATAAGCTTACGATTATTTCAAATTATGAAGGATTTAAAGATATTTAATATGAACGGAAGCTATGTGTTCTAGAGTGCCCATCGGTTTGTCTTCACAAGAGTAATCTCCTTAAACGATTGAGAGAAGGTAAGTATTCGAGAGGAATCTGATATATTCCAAACAGTCAATATTATAATGCAATTTTATATTAGCAACAGCCATACTTCTTGAACCACAAAAATGATAGTAACCAATCAAATGATAATAACAGATTGGTGGTGTTATATCAATTAAGGAAAAGTTCCTGAAGAAACTAAATAATGCGAGGCATTCCTAGTTATTATGCACATTCCAAAAATCAATGAATTTCAACTTGAAAAGATATTTAATTCATCAAATTTCTTTTTGCACATAATTTTAGACAATGGATACACGATAGGAAAACATGTTCCGATTATATGTTAATAAACATCGCACCTCAGACCACACTCGTCTAGCTACTGATAAATCTCTCCTAATATAAGTCCATCCATGTAATTACATGAAGGATTGCAAAATATTTGATTGCAGTGTTGTAGCTTTGCATGCTAATAAATTTTTAAAAGCACCATCACTTCCGATCGCTTCAATATATATGCCTAACTAATGGCGTTATTTATTATATCCAAACACTAAGGAAATAATGATTACATCAACTAAACAGTGTCATAATTATTGTTTTGAAGAAACGCAGGGATAATTATTGGTCTAAATTATCATTTATCCGTGTAGATTTTGAACTAGAAAATTGTCTCTGAAGTGGATATTATTTAAAAACTTCTGGTCGCATATCGCAAATAAGAGAGAGTTGTAGTCTACTGGACTGATGTGTATGAACAATAAACTCAAATACGTATATGTACAATAGACTGATCCATCAAAATAATATGACATGGCATTAATAATTGAATGATGAACACAAAAACTAGTGTTTTCCACAACTTTTTAGTGGCTGCTAGGAATCAGAATACAGTAAGGCAAATGTTTACATTACAACTTTCGTAGTTTGTCCATGAAGCACATACACTAATTAAGATATAGGATGAAAATACAGAAATTTGGCAAATTACTAACAGCCAAAATTATTTGTTATAACTGATGATAAGGATACAAAGCTGTCCTATGATTAGAATGATCATTTAAAATGCATTTACCAAAACAATTTCATATTCGCACCAATTAAATAACATCCAGACAGTGGATACTTAGAATCCAAACAATTTCCCATAAAAACTACAGGCGATCAAATATGTTTTTCCGGTTCCCATAATATTCCTGCAGTCAGCCGACTAATGAAGTGTTCTCGCACCAAATTCTATCGAAAACGAATAGGCTGACGGAGAATTTCATGTCATTCTGTACTGACTACAAATAACATTCAATGTAAATGGTAGTCTTTAACTTCCTTATGAAGCAATACTGTTGCGACCTTCAGTCCTCTACATGTTGACATAATCACATCACAAAACAAAGAGTTCATTGGCTGCAAATCTACTTTACATCTATCTAACCATAAAACTGACGATAAGCAAGGAGCGCGAAAGTCTATACCCAATAGCCAGTCAGAAGACGAGCACACCAAACCAACATTTTAATACTGAGTCAAACTTGTAGGATTAAAAGCTTTTGAGAACACGGCAAAAATCCACGAGAGAAATCACAATTTATACACAACTAAATCCTGAGTGATACAAAATAGAGCGATAATTTAGTTGACAATTTAACGATAGTTACAAAACAGTAAAAACACATCAACTATCGATATGCTAAATAAAAGCTTAAAATATCAAAATATTATAAACAATGAGACTACGCAGTAAAAACAGAGATAAGCAATTTAGACTACAATATCATACTGTAACAACACGACAGTTCATTCAGTGTTTCTGCATATAAGCTATTCATTAATTTCTCTACTCACATCATAATTTATTAACATACATTTTAATCATATATTCCCAGTTAATTGTATATTAGTTTTATCTTTCTTTATTACTACTCATTAGAACGAATATCCCACAGTGACCAATAACAAACAATAAAAGCAGTTGATTACTTTTATCTACTCAAATAAGTAATGATCACATGATTTGAATTATAAGAAACAAAATGATTGCAGGAAAGACTTTCTAATATAATAATTTCGTAACTGCTTAGCATCCAGTTGAAGATTATTATATGAGTATTTACTACGAGTTATCAAACACACTTCAGAGTTTGTGGAAATTTTTTTCTAAAAATATTCCGAAACGATTATCTCCCACGTATAAAGAATACATGATATTTTGTAAATATGGATTAAAACTTTAATATTATTTCAAATGAAAGGATGCAGTATGTAGCCTCATTTCATCTAAAAACGAAGATTAATTAAATAAAGATGATTATATGAGTCCAATTAAAAGTGGAAATCTGTTTGCGCACAAAGCTTTGAATTCACTACATTGTAACAATTTTGATTTTTTTTATAGAGGCCAAGAAATTCACACTTATACTTAAATAATTTTATCTGAACATAATGATTCTCATTGTGTTTTATTCATTAAATGAAACTTTCCAATCTTAAAACAATTTTGACGCAAGCATTGGTAATTTCCATACTTGTTTTCTTTTTTGAAAAAATTCCCTAATAGTGTGAAATACGAATCCCATGAAGAAAAAACAAATATTTAAGAGGAATGATCCTTTCTCCAAGAAACATCACTCGAATGTATAACACAAGGTGGTAAGGATAGTTACATGGATATCAAACAAAATTGGCACTAATAAAAGTAATTTGCTCACAGTCGATTTTGTTTCACAATCATACTATTGAAATGTTAGCGATCCTGATGTGACTCAAGGTTATTTCTTTTTAATATATTTTTCAAGATAGTCATTTCTTAGGTGACTTCCAATTTTGAAGTAAACAAAAGCTTTGTACAAAAACGGCTTATAATAAGCATTACCATAACTACTTAAAAAGCAAGTATAATGATCTCTACGATCAAATCATATCCTAATGATGAATAATATAATGCAAAGCTGAAATAAGAGCATGACAGGTTCAGAAGTAAACGGTATATTAGACGCCGTGGCAACCAGAATAAAAGTAAATCTAAACAGCAGAAAAACAAACGGATTCAATCCCGTTACGGTATGTGAACTTAATGTCAATTAATTGGTTGTATATACACTATATGAATCGAGCACTAATTACAAGTGTAATGCAGTGACAGCCATTCGGTATGAAACTCGGTGCTTTTCTGAATAATTGTGACTGTTACTTATAAAATTTGACAACCTTGATCCTGTTAAACTTTAATTTTTCTAATAACACAACTGATTATTGTTTTAAGTTTTAACATTGAGAATGTTATCACCATATAAATTTCTATACAGTGTTAATTGCTTCCTATCACAAAATGAAAGTTTTTTTCCGGTCAGTCCACACACACACACATGCACACATAGAGGTCGGTAGGTAGTATGAAATCTATGAGAAAGAGAACTTCCCAACAATAAAAAACGTTAACAGAAATAATGAAGTAGGTTTATATATAAAAATAATTTTTCAAAATTAAATCCAAAAATACCCAAATTAGAAAAATAGAGTAAAAAAGGTACTCATATAATTGGCAGTTTAGAAAAAAAAGGAATACCTGAAACGATAAAATTGCAATACACATGAACAGTAACTTGCTTCGATACATAAACGCCACATTATTCATGTGTACGAGGGTGAAAGCACTGCTATTGGTAATGAATAAATGAGATGACTTAGATTTGCACATATCAATATCTGTGTTAATAATTCGTGATATTATTATGCATTTTTAAAATGTATATTGTTTTGACAAATATATACATTAATAATATGTGAATAGTAAATTAGATATCTTGTCTATCTGAATAGAGACAGAAAGATATGTGTATACATGTTCAAGTGATTCTTTTGATAGATAATAAATGCAACTGATCGCTAATTTCATTCACACCACGATCATCATCATCATTATTATTATATATAGGAATAACAATAATAATGAATAATATCAACAATAATATCACCTATATGAAATCAAACCGATATAATATTCAATGTATTGAGTATCTAAATCAAAAGGATTGATAACACCTTGAGACTAATCATAGCAAAGAATGAGAAAACTTAACTAGTCTTTTTTTTGTTCAAAATAATATATAGCTAGTTTATTTGGTGAAGATAATTATTTTTTTTAATTATTAATACGCGTACTACTTAAAAATTGACAGGAGCATATATTAAGTACATTCAATTTCTTTTAAATATGTATACATAGAGTGCAAACGCAGAGGGGAAACACAAGTGAGGTTTAATTGATTATCAGTGTTATTCGATATACCATTTAAGAAACAGTAGTTCGTTTATAAAAAAAAGACTGAACGAGAATACATTTATCTTTGAGCGTAAAGAAAGAAACATAAGCCCAACAAATAGGAACAAACATACACGAGCCACCTATCGGAAATCAAGAAAAACATCATTAGCAAATCAAACAATCAAGAATAATTTTTATTTGTATACACACACAAACACCACTCCACATAGGAAGAAACAAACACGATAAGAATAACATCCAACACACAAAAGAAAGAGAAGCAGGTAAGAGATTTTGAACAAATAAATGGATAGGAAAGGGATTTCATGAAGACGAGCCATCAATAACATTAGGATGATTAGATGTGAAAGACTTTATACATGGGGATTTCATGGAGGAATCAACAGTTAACTGACTACTAAATTTGGAAAGTTTTAAAAGTTTACTAGAAATAGATTCATCTAATGGTGATGCTGTTGTTGATGAAATGGATTTTATTTGAGTAACTTGAGCAGTATGCTCACGGTTTGAATGAAACGTCCGTTGTGGACCGCGTACAGGGATTACAGGACGCGATTTAGTCCGATCACT